TTCTTTCACATTGTCATTATGGGGTATTGTTTGTAGAATGTTGAGGAAAAAAATGAATTAGATTGTGAGCTCGAAAGAGCAGGGCCCTCGAACCCCTCATGTAGTGTATTGTTACTGTCTTGTCTCATGTTATGTCCCCCTTGCTACTGTACAGCGCTGAGCATACCCTTTGGCGCTATATAAATACTGTATAATAATAATAATTAAATCCATTTTGGAATAAAGCTGTAACATAACAAAATGTGGCAAAAGTTAAGCGCTGTGAATACTTTCTGGATGCACTGTATATTGTAACAAATGCTGGGTGTATAAAATTCCTTAATGTTTCCTTAATGTTAGATTTAGCTTATATACACTTAAAATGTAATTGTCTACAATTTTTTTCAAACATTAAAAATGTGATCAAAATTTTAGTGTGCAATTATAATTGTACATTCACCAGAAAATACCAATCAGTTCTTTGTAATCTTTAAAATATTTTTTCCTGCCTATTTCATAATGATCATTTCACTATAGAAAAATCAGTAAGTTGTATGTTTCTATTGTATGGACTATTGCTTGCTTTTTTTTCCATGTAGCTGGATGCTTTTGTGTATTTTTATTTAATTGTACCGCATGCCATTGTCTCTAAAAATGTTTTTATAGCACTACAGTGGAAGCCAGAATGATAATCCGTCTTTAGCTGGAATGATAATAATAGGCTCCAAATATGTTTTAATATAAAATGCAAATAAAAGCATCAAGCGTAAGCAATTTTATAATGTATATGCAAGAAATAAGTACATTTAACGTGGTTTGTGTATATTTTCTCATTTATGTCCCTTGTGTTTTGGCCAAGCTGTCCATTACGATAGAGCACTGAAGACTGGTAAGAATGTCAGTAATGCATTGGTTGCAAAGTATCTCTCTATTATACTTTAGCAGTACACATATCCTGGATGCCTTGTGATTTGCACACTACTAACACCAACATTTTCTGCATAATTCAGGGATAGCCTTTCATATGGCTTCAGCATGTTATGTTTTCTTCTAAAATCAAACAGTTGTTTATACTGGCTCTTAAATGTGCAAGTGTCTGTAGCTTAAGGATTCATTTGAAAAAAATGTCTTTTAACATTTTTTTAATATGAATTTCAATGGTTGTTAAACTCTGATCAGAATAATGACACCTGTCCACCTGAAAAATCTTTTTTTCTGCAAATCCAACCATAGGCTTCATTGGCACCCTCTGAGAAGCAAGGTGAAATACAATTAAATAGGCACAAACAGGTAATAAAGCACAATTCTATTTTTTTAATATTCATGGGAAATGAGACTTCTGTATTAGTCTTCAAATAAAGGCCGTAGCAGCTTTTCCCTGGCACAATCCAGGAGACCTGAACCACTGCTTTCTGTGTGACAGCAGAATTAAGTTTTACAAGTCCCATACACTCCTGGCAAAGTAACATCTGCTGTGCTCCTTACACACAAGGCCCACACTCCCTGGAAAGTGTTGTTGATTAGAAACATGGAAGCTATGGAATGGCTTCTGGGCTTCAGTTATGATCTCTATTACAAAAAAAAAATAATAATAACAACAGTGAATAGTTTTTCTGCAGCCTTACTCCACTGGAACATTCAAAAGCTACATCTATGAATAAGGCCGCTTGAGGGCTGAAACATGTAAGCTGCTTGCTTTCTGGATTTTTTACCCTTGCCTGTATTAAATAAATAGACTTTATGCTGTGAAGGACCTGAGTTACCAATTACATCTGTTTCAAACCTTCCTCGCTGGCTTGTGGAGCCTGTTGATCAGTCACCCGGGCAGTAGCACAATTCACATTTTAAAAAAAAAAGCTGTAATTTGACTTTAAAATACAGTATATCTTAAAGCGGAGCTCCACAGAAAAGAGAAAGTTTTGCTTTAAGCTTTTGTCTCCCACTCCCTGTTAAGGATTGGCACCATTGGGGAGCGAGAGGGGGGGGGAGTGGATACCTGACTTTGACAGGTACCCACTTCCGCTGCAATCGCCTAAGGCAATCAGAAGCGGAAGTTGTCCTCCCCCCTCCCTCCCTGTAGGACAGGTCCTGGAAGACTACGGGAGCATTCACAAAGTGCAGCGCTACGAGGAAAAGTGCAGGGGGCACCCGGTTGTAAACCCGCAAGCTGTCACAGCCGGGTGCCCACACTGAAGATGCCAGTGCCAGGGAGAGAAGATGGCCGGTGAATCCAGCCGTGGCAAGGACACCGCTGGACCAAGGGACAGGTAAGTGACTGTATTTTAAAAGTCAGCAGCTACAGTTTTTGTAGCTGCTGACTGTTATTTCTTTAATCAACTAGAACTCCACTTTAAGTCAAAAATTTCCTAGGTTTTGGATAGAGTATGGAATAGGTAAAAATCCTTGTCATTTTTTCTTTCTTTTTTGCATCCTATTGAGAGATCTCTGTTTAACAGGATGTGAGACAAAAACCCATAAACGTGAGGGGAAAATCTCTCATTTAGACAGTTTCCCTGGGACAGATCCCCCATGTAAGGCAAGAAATCCTTTACACTTAGGACCTGTAAACAAGCTCAATTTGTTAAAGAAGAAATAGTATTGAAGTAATGGGAAAAAGATATGGATAAAACCAAGCGAACTGCTCCACAGAATATACTATATAGTATATTACTTGAGATGCAAAACATGTAATGCTTTTTAAACAGGATAATGAAAGTTCCTAATAACTAAGAAAATGTATTTATGAACATCAGTAAGATATAATGACTGATAATTTGCAACCACAATTACGATGTACTTCAACCTTGTGAATAATTCTTCTATTTTCATCGGGTGATCCAGCCTGTAAGTCTGATGCTTTTCAAAAGAACAAGCTTTTTTCCAGATGTATCTGTTTACAGGCATGAGGCAAACCATTTGACACTGGTAAGGGTGCTTGTAATGATCAACTTGTATTCATTTATGTAAAACCTTTATCTTAAAAGGAAAATAATCAGGTACTGTTTGCTTTGCCTTTTTATAAAGGTTTAGCTGGAGTTTGGCTTCACTTTGTCAATGTATCTAAATCTGCTAGTGACAATGCTGCTGCCTGATGTACCCCCTGTGCTCATTCATCCAGTTGGGGCATTCTAATACAGGAGCTATGCTACTGGCAAGATCACCAGGTAAAAACACCAGGAAAAAAGCATTTTAAAAAAAAAGAAAATTATTGCAGCCAACACATCTGCTGCTTGGTAAGCTGCGAAATATTGCATTTTGGTTTTTTTAATACCAGTTTAACTTAAATACAGCACTGCATTTTCAGGCATTATGTGAATACCTAGTATACAGTATATGATATTAACTTGAAAAACAGGTTCACATCTATGTATGATCAAATTTTCAAATCATATGTAAAACTGGACTGTAGCTGATAACTGCTGCGGGACATTTTCCTTTGTTACTGCTGTATTATTCTTCTGCAGTGTGGACAGCATCAAACTGAATATTCATTCATGCAGAAGTGCAGCGGCCATCTTTAAGGTGACTACATTGCAATGTTCGTCTATGCAGTGTCTCCAGTGCATGGGGCAGCCATCTTGGCTGGTTCTGATTTGATCTTGTTGATGATTGGCTGATGCAACAGAGCAAGGAGGAGGGGTCTGCAGGCTGGAGAGGAAAGGAGAGGACAGTCTTAAAGCTGGGGAGGTGTGGAAAAATATTGGACTGCTGGCTGAACAGACCTCTGCCATAGCTAACCACAATTGGAAGAAACTGCTCATCGTGCTGTGTGAGATGTCATTTAGATGTCTGGTGTGATCAGTTTGTACTAGAGAACACTCTCTCTGCTTATAAGGAAGGAAAAAAGGGACTGTCTCAGCAGGATTGAAAGAGAGAGATCACATCAACGTCTATCCTTGTTTGCACTTGAACTGGACTTTTACTGAACCAAACCACATGTCCAGAGACCCAGAGGAGGGTGCCCTGGGTCTGGTAAGAGAAAAAGTTAATCTATTGTCTGCTGGGAACTGTTGTGCTTTCCTCAGGGGCCCCAACTTTGCTGACCAATATTTTTTTTCATTAATATTTAATCTTTTCAAAATTACTATTGTTTGTATTGGTATTGCAATGCTGATGTTATAAAAGAAAGTGTATGCTGTGACCATAGAATTCTTTTAACTTTTGAAGCACAATTGCTATATGGTAGGTTGCTGCTGAATAACTAATAATCCCTAATACAGAACAATGCTTTTTCTTGAATGGATGTTTTGGTGTTTTGACAGCAGACTTTTGTTCCCCTGCCCACATCCTCCTACGAGTATGAAGCAGAGAAAAGGGTTGTATCCTTGAGGAACATAAAACACTGTGAACCCGAGTAAAACAATTGCTTTACTTCACTAGATATATACAATATACAAATTACATGTACATAATGTAACAGTTCCACCATGCAAGTATATTACAGTACTTTTGATGCTATGTGAAAAAAGACGTAGCTGTTTACTAAAGATTTACTAAACCGAGTTGATGCTGTTTGAAATAAAGCATGAGTTCTAAATACCATTTATTGGGGATGGAAGCCATTAGAGGGTATATCTAATAGACAGGGACAATAATAGCAATAATATCTTAAAGAGTAACTCCACCTTTGCTGAGAAAAAAAAAACATTCCCCTCTGGGTGATCTATGTATATTGCAAGGATTTTAACAAACTTTGTTGCAGAGTCCTACCTTTTGTTATTCTGAAAAAAATAGCTGCTTGTTTGTCTGTGTCCATGTGCAGATTGAATCTGTATGGGAGTGGATTTATAATTATCATTCAGCTGCTGCACCTGCTAAAAAGTGGCAGGGTCTGCATCCCTGTAGACGTGATTTCCCTTTGGGAATATCACGCTAAAAATGACATTTTTGTTTCAGGGGATGCCACAAATCTGACTTGTACACTATATTGCCAAAAGTATTAGGACATCCCACCAAATCATTAGATTCAGGTGTTCCAATCACCTCCATGGACACAGATGTATAAAATCAAGCAACTAGGCATGCAGACTGCTTCTACAAACATTTGTGAAAGAATGGGTAGTTCTCAGGAGCTCAGTGACTCCAAGCGTGGTACCGTGATAGGTTGCCACCTGTGCAATAAGTCCATCCGTGAAATTTCCTTGCTACCAAATATTACACGGTCAACTGTTAGTGGTATTATAACAAAGTGGAAACAACTGGGAACAACAGCAACTCAGCTACGAAGTGGTAGACCACGTAAAATAACAGAGCGTGGTCAGCGCATGCTGAAGAGCACAGTGCGCAGAAGTTGCCAACTGTCTGCAAAGTGAATAGCTAAACACCTCCAAACTTCATATGGCCTTCAGATTAGCACAACAGTATAGAGCTTTATGTGATGGGTTTCAAAGTTGCATGTCAGTGCAACTTCAGATGCAACTTGGAAGATATCTGTGTGACTTCATGCACAGATGTCAATGCAAGTCACACCTGAAATTGCAAAAAGTAGCGCAGCAACTGCTTTCAAAATCAGCGAGTCTCCAACAGACTCAGGGTCGCACTGATTTGAATGGTTCCATTGCAAACAATAGGGTGTGACATCATGCGATTTGATATCGCATGACAAGTTGCATTGGTGTAAACCAGGGCTTATTGTCAAAGCTTAATTTAGAGGCTGAACAAGCTGAAGTTAGAGGCCGATTGGTTACTATGCACAGCTGCACCAGATTCTGGGTGCACCAGTTTTAGTAAATCTCTGGCTATATCTTGCTATATCTTGCAAGAGGGGAGGGGGCTCTGTTAGAAAATTTACTTTCCTGGTCTAGTCAAATTTTCAAGCAAGTTTGAAAATAATTTATGGGGAAAAAAAACACTGCAAGTAAGCATTTAAAATATCTTTTTTTTCCTGTCTTTACCTGCTAATTCTCAAGGTGGTAACAGAGCCTTAATAATATAAAGAAGGATCATTGCATTGCAAAAATTACATTCTTTCAATGAGTATATATTTGAATACAGGGAAGTCTTTCAATTACACTTGAGCTTGTCAATAAAATTTATTTTTTTCTAAGCCCTTTTTACAGTATCATATTAGCTAGTTAACATATATTAAAGCAATATAAAAGAGCATATTTATGCCTAATATATATTTTATTTTATTTTCAGCTATTACAGCATATCAAAGTTCAACAGTCTCCTAATCATATGTTAAAATGATATTAAAGGCAGTTTTAAAGAAAACAAAATAATAAACATGTCACACTTAGCTGCTCTGTGCTGTGGTTTTGCACAGAGCAGCCCTGATCCTCCTCTTCTCTGGTCCCCCTCTTCCTGGCCCCTCCATCCTGCCAAGTGTGTGTCCACTCACACACAGAAGCACTATTTGGACCCACATCCTCTTCCTCCTCATTGGCTCACTGGCTGTGACTGAGAGCAGTGGGAGCCAATGGCTCCTGCTGTCTCAAACAATGAGGAGGGAGAATCCCTGGAGAGCTGAGGCTCTCGTGCAAATCTCTGGATAATGATTGGGCTCAGGTAAGTATTAGGGGGGCTGAAGAAGCTGCTGCACACTGAAGGTTTTTTTATCTTCACGCAAAGAATGCATGAAAGTAAAAAAAGTCCTGCCTTTAGAACCACTTTATATATATGCTTGCATTGGCTTTGCTGGTGAAAATATTCACAGACATTTATCATTTATTACAGGTACTTATATAGCTTCATCAATTTATGCAGCACTTTACATATATATTGTGCATTTACATCAGCCCCTAACTCTTAAGGACCGTACAATCTAAGGTCCCTAACTCACATTCATATCTACTCATTCTAGGGCCAATTTAGAGAGGAGCCAATTAACCTACCAGTTTGTCTTTGGAGTGTGGGAGGAAACTTAAGTACCCAGAGGAAACCCATGCAGGCACAGGGAGAACATGATAGTAGTGTCATGGTTGGAATTTGAACTGATGACTCTAGTGCTGCTAGGTGGAAGTGCTAACCAATACATAACAGTTTATGTGATTGGTCTCACACAACCTGATGATAAATGGAATAATTTTCTTCTTGCCCCATTCTAAAATAAACAGTTTTTGTGTCGAAATGCTGCAATTCACAATGTTGCTGGACTATTTTCACATCAGCGGTTTTCCAAGCACCCTTAAATTGGGTATCCAGTCAAAGCTATTGGATAAAACTCAACATCTAGTACACATGGTATTGGCATGATTATCACTCAACTGACAATATTTTGACAGGTTTAGACAACAATCAGGTTTATTATGGGGCAACGTAGACTACAGAAGACATCTTCGATGGCTCCTCCTACTTCTATATGCTCCTTAGTAGTTTTATACAGATCTTATAGTGTTCTGTGCATCATCCACTTTTCATTGGTCTTGCAACAGCATTTCTGTCTATGTGTCCAGAGATCTTTAGTGTCATCAGTGACATCTTTTCCATCCAGAAATAAAGTGCAACCTCCTAGTTGATTACAATGTAGGCGCTACTTCAATAATGTGTGATCTGTTCCTCCAAAATGAAAAAAAAAAAAATTTAATACAATAAATTTATCTACATGTCCATGTATATATGTTGTGTTCACTACATTGACTCTTGCCACTGATATACTGTATTTTTCACTCCATAAGATGCACTCCCCCCCCCAAAAAAAAATGGGGGGAAATGTCTGAGCGTCTTATGGAGCTAAAATTGACCAAGCCTGCCCCCCATCACCGCCACTGTGTTAGAATACCAGGCCAGCCAGCAGGCAGTGGGTGGGGCCAGGTTCAGAAGCTCCACTGACCCCGCCCCATGCAGCCTGTATGCACAAGAGGGAGCTGCTGTATGAGAAGTTGTGATGTGAGTGGGAGCTCCGCCCCCGGACCTCAGAGAGGATGCTGAGCACGGCTGGCCAGGTATGTCCTTCCCCCCATAGACTGCCTGTGGACTGTTATATCAAACCCTGAGCTGTTTTTCACAAACTGTACATCTATGAATTGCTGAAAGAACTCTGTTCATCCCCTGTAATATGTCTGCAGTCTCTGGTCATCTCCTGTACTGTGTCCGCAGTCTCTGGTCATCTCCTGTACTGTGTCCGCAGTCTCTGGTCATCTCCTGTACAATGTGTGCAGTCTCTGGTCATCTCCTGTACTGTGTCCGCAGTCTCTGGTCATCTCCTGTACTATGTCCGCAGTCTCTGGTCATCTCCTGTACTGTTTCCGCAGTCTCTGGTCATCCGTACTGTGTCCGCAGTCTCTGGTCATCTCCTGTACTGTGTCCGCAGTCTCTGGTCATCTCCTGTACTATGTCCGCAGTCTCTGGTCAATCCTGTACTGTCATCTCTGTCATGTCAGGGGAAAAGACGAGGAAGCCTGGGCAAATGCGCCAATGCGCAATGTGGCCACGCCAATTCACGCAAAGAAGTGCTCATGTGCATAGGCGGGCGACACGTAATAAAACATTCCTGTGCATGAAAACACACCAGCACACGTAGGGTGCACTAATTGCTGACATGCAATGGCTTTTATAAGGACTGCAGCTCTGCTCAGTGATTGCTGGATTTTCGTCAGCCCCTCCTGTTCCTGTGTGCCTGAGTTTACTGCTGATTACCCATTACCGACCCGGCTTGATCCTGACCTTGTTCCTATCTGCTGCTCTGTGTATGACCCCGGCTTGATCCTGACCTTGTTCCTGTCTGCTGCTCTGTGTATGACCCCGGCTTGATCCTGACCTTGTTTCCTGTCTGCTGCTCTGTGTATGACCCTGACTTGATCCTGACCTTGCTCCTGTCTGCTGTTCGATATTGATCCTGGCTCTGGCTACCGAGTACTCTACCCATCCTCCGGGATCCACGTGTTCTCTGGGAGAAATGCATCCTGCAACTGGAGCACCCACGGGTTCCATCTCATCAGGCATTTCCAAGCAGCAATACCACTGGCAACCTGTGCTTCCTTGGGCACTGCACCTCCTGTTTCCACCTCCAGGGGCGCAATGCACTTAGCCGTAAGGGGAGCCCTCTCTCTATTACAGCCTCCGGTAAGGTACGTGACAGTATAGTCCAGCCATAATGTCAGAGGCTGAGAGAGGTGTCTCCCCGATAGAGGCTCTGTGCCAGAAGGTTGCCGCCCTCACTCAAACAGTCAAGAACCTACAAGAGGGCTATTTCCAGTTAGAAGGTCGCCTGCAGAATCTTGCCACTCCTTCAGCTTCTGCTGACCAAAACCCACCCAGAGCACCCTCTGCATCCTCCGCTTTTGTTCAAGAAGGCCCTGCAGTCACAGTAATGCTACCTCCGCCAGAGCCAAGAGTACCCGTCCCGAAACGCTTTTCTGGAGCTCGTCGAAAGTTCAGGGCTTTTTTAAAAAACGCATGTCTGTTATATTTGGCGTTTCAACCCAGAACTTTTTCTTTAGAGTCTGTGAAGGTGGGGTTCATCATCTCTCTACTTACTGATGAACCTCAGTCCTGGGCACATCACCTCCTGGAGCAAAAAAGCCCAGTTCTGAATGCTGTTACTGCCTTTTTTGATGCCCTGTCCCAACTATATGACAATCCCAAATGCATGGCCACAGCAGAAGCTGCCCTTCACCCCCTCCAACAAGGTCATCGACTCGTGGAAGATTATACAGTTGAATTCCATAAATGGTCAGCAGACAGACTGGAATGAAGCCACCCTCAGATACCAGTATTGGCTTGATCTCTGAAGGACTCAAAGACGAATTAGCCAGAATCAAGGCTCCTACCTCCCTTGAAGGCCTCCTACAGTTGGCCATCCAGCTAGACCGTTGCCTGCAGGAACGGAAATTGGAAAGATCTAATTCCTACTGTCCATCCTGGATGCTACCCAAGGTGCCTTCCTTCTCTGCTCCTCTGCCTACTGTGCCTCCTGCTCCTGTTGCTGAAACTGAACCTATGCAGATTGGCCTAGTTCGCTCCTCCTTGTCCCCAGATGAAAAGACACATTGGAGACAGTCCAACCTATGCCTCTACTGTGGAGCGTCTGGACATTTCTTACGAAATTGTCCTGTGAGACCTAGTAAGTTTATCTCTCCACGCGCTATGTACTCTCAGATTTCCGGATCATTATCAGCTCACCTTGTTCTATCTATATTGTTGCAGGTGGCAGGAAGGGAAGTCAAGCTCCAAGCAATCATTGACTCCGGGGCGTGCAGCTGGTTTTTGGACGCCACCGTAGCAAAAAAGTTGCAGGTCCCACTGAGAGACAAAAAACAAAAACCTGCAGTCCATTTAGCCGTTGGGACTTTTCCTCGATCTGGTCCTGTAACACAGGAAACCATTCCTATTTCCCCCTGAACTTCCAGACTCTTCCAGTTGCCTGACCGTTCAAACAGTGCCCGACCCCAGTCAAATTGTGCCCCCATCCTACCATGAATACCTAGATGTTTTTGATAAACGGGAGGCCGACACACTATCACCTCACCGGCCATATGACCGCCCTATTGAACTCCTTCCCGGGGCAGAGATTCCCTTTGGGCAAACTTTTCCGTTATCCGAAGTTGAGCTGGAGGCTCAAAGAGTGTACATTGATGAGAGTTTTAAGAAGGGGTTCATTCGCCTCTCTTCTTCCCCTGCTGGTGCTGGAATCTTCTTTGTGGAGTAAAAGGATCACTCACTCAGGCCTTGTGTGGATTACTGGGGACTCAATAAAGTAACTATCAAAAATCGTTATCCACTCCCTCTGGTCCCGGAGGTCTTCCAAAGATTCCATGATGCCCGAATAGTTACAAAACTCGATCTCCGGGGCTCCTATAACCTAGTCAGAATCCGCAAAGGAGATGAATGGAAGACAGCTTTTAGAACCCGCTTCGGGCACTTCGAGTACCTGGTTATGCCCTTTGGGTTGTGTAACGCTCCTGCAACCTTTCAACACCTCGTGAACGACATTTTCCGGGAATTTTTGGATCACTTCTTGATAGTTTACTTTGACGATATCCTTATCTTTTCTGCCACCCTGGAACTCCACCATATGCATGTCAAAATAGTCCTAGCTACCCTAAGACAGCATGGATTATATGCAAAGGCGGAGAAATGTGAATTCGAAAAACTATCAATCCAATTCCTGGGCTTGATCATTTCCACTGATGGCATTTCTATGGACCCCCAAAAGGTAGCTGCCATCACCAACTGGCCACCCCCACCGGTAAGAAAGATTTGTGGGCTTTACCAATTTTTACAGGAGATTTATTAAGAACTTTTCCTTTATTATTGCTCCCATTACCCAATTAACTCGGATACATACCCGATTCCAGTGGTCTCCAGAAGCTCAAGGGGCCTTTGACAAGCTGAAGACTCTATTTACGTCTGCTCTGGTGCTACAGCACCCCAACCCGACTCTGCCCTTTGTCCTTGAGGTCGATGCCTAAGAGATTGCCACAGGAGCAATCCTTTCCTGTCAGGGGCCCAAGGCTCTCTTGCACCCAGTGGCCATTTTCTCCTGAAAGATGAGTCAACCAGAGAAAAATTACAACATGGGGGGCCATTAAATCTGCATTGGAAGAGTGGCGCTACCTCTTGGAAGGCGCTGCTCACCCTATTATGATTTTTACTGATCATAAGAACTTGGAATATCTTTGAACCGCAAAACGGTTAAGACCAAGACAAGCTCGATGGGCCTTATTCTTTTCAAGGTTCAATTTTCATTTAACATACCGTCCAGGGTCTAAAAATGGGAAAGCAGATGCCCTGTTCCGTATGTTCCCAGACACTCCTCAAACAGCTGCTCCCAGTACTATTTTATCCCCACATAATTTCCTGCTCATTCAGCCTGATCTATAAGCAGCAATTAAACAAGCTTCACTTTCATATGCTGGGTCTGAGAGGTTATCCTTAAGGAAGCATGAGGATTTCTTGTGGCATGAGGACAAGATCTTCATTCCCCAAGAAGTCAGGCCACAGATATTTAAGATATGCCATGACGGAAAACAGGGCAGAGATTCCTTGCAGGTCACTTCGGGGTACTTCGGGGTAGGCTCAAAGAGTGTACATTGATGAGAGTTTTAAGAAGGGGTTCATTCGCCTCTCTTCTTCCCCTGCTGGTGCTGAACTTGTCCAAAGATCTTTTTGGTGGCCCAACCTGAGACATAACTGTAAAGAGTATGTTAACTCCTGCGCAACTTGTCTACGCAATAAGGTCAGCCATACCAGAGCCTGGGGCTTGCTGAGACCCCTGCCAGTTCCTGAACAGCCTTGGAAGATGATTTCTATGGACTTCATTGTGGATCTACCTCCCTCTGAGGGATTCACCACCATCCAGGTGGTAGTGGATAGACTGTCCAAAATGGCTCACTTCCTGCCCATGGTGGGTACTCCTTCCGCTACTGAAACTGCTCAAACATTTATTAAGGAGATAGTAAGGCTACACGGGATACCCAACAATATAGTTTCTGACAGAGGAGTACAATTTACATCCAAATTTTGGAGATCTCTGTGCAAAACCCTAAATATCGAAGATGTCTCTCTTCTGCTTATCATCCACAGAGTAATGGGCAAACGGAGAGGACAAACCAAACTTTGGAGCAATACCTAAGATGCTTCTCCACTTTCTCTCAGGATAATTGGGCATCTCTTATTTCCCTGTGCAGAATTCGCCTACAACAACTCTTTCCATGCTTTCACCAAGCAGTCTACTTTCTGGGCAAATTAGGTTTTCACCCTTCCTTCGTTCTGGATGCATTACAGAAGCATCAGTACCTGCAGTCCAAGATAGGTTAACTTTCATACAATGCAATTACCAGATACTCCAGAGGACCATGCAAAAAGCTCAGGAGGATTACAAGAAACAGTTTGATAAAAGGAGGAGAGGTAACCCTGGGTGGAAGGTGGGAGACAAAGTGTGGCTTGCTACAACCAATCTCAAACTTGCTTGCCCTTCACAAAAACTAGGTCCCAGGTTCATTGGACCCTTTAAAATCAAAAGGGAGATTAACCTTGTGGCCTTCGAACTGGACTTACCCGACTCTTATAAGATTCACCCAGTCTTCTATGTTTCTCTACTCAAATTAGCCGTAATGTGTCCTATCCCTGGAAGAGAGGAACCGCCCCCACCGCCAGTCACGGTAGGGGAAGACATCGAGTTTGAAGTTGAAACCATCTTGGACGGTCGGAAAAGGGGGAGACAGATTCAATATCTGGTTAAATGGAAAGGGTATCCACCGGAGGATAGTTCCTGGGAACCAGCAAGAAATGTGCATGCTCCTAAGCTGCTTCAAGAATTTTTTAACAGATTCCCTGAAAAATGAGCCCGCCTGGGCATCCGGAGGCTGCTCCTTGGGGGAGGGCACTGTCAGAGGAAAAGACGAGGAGGCCCGGGCAAATGCGCTAATGCGCAATATGGCCACGCCAATTCACGCAAAGAAGTGCGCATGTGCATAGGCGGGTGATACGTAATAAAACATTCCTGTGCACGAAAACACACCAGCACACACAGGGTGCACTAATTGCTGACACTCAGTGGCCTTTATAAGGACTGCAGCTCTGCTCAGTGATTGCTGGATTATTGTCAGACCCTCCTGTTCCTGTGTTCCTGAGTCTACTGCTGATTACCCATTACCGACCCGGCTTGATCCTGACCTTGTTCCTGTCTGCTGCTCTGTGTATGACCCTGGCTTGATCCTGACGTTGCTCCTGTCTGTGTTCGATATTGATCCTGGCTCTGGCTACTGACTACTCTACCCATCCTCCGGGATCCACGTGTCCTCTGGAGAAATGCATCCTGCAACTGACGCACCCACGGGTTCTATCTCATCAGGCATTTTCTAGCATCAACACCACTGGCAACCCGTGCTTCTTTGGGCACTGCACCTCCTGTTTCCACCTCCAGGGGTGCACTGCACTTAGCTGTAACGGGAACCCTCTCTCTATTACAGCCTTCAGTCAGGTACGTGACAGGTCATCTCCTGTACTATGTGTGCAGTCCCTGGTCATCTCTTGTACTATAGCTGCAGTCTCTGGTCATCTCCAGTAGTGTGTCTGCAGTCATCTCCTGTACTAGTTCTTTAGTCTCTGGTTATCTCCTGTACTAGGTCTGTAGTCTCTGGTCATCTCCTGTATTAGGTCTGTAGTCTCTGGTCATCTCCTGTATTAGGTCTGTAGTCTCTGGTCATCTCCTGTACTAGGTCTGCAGTCTCTGATCATCTCCTGTACTATGTCCGCAGTCTCTGGTCATCTCCAGTAGTGTGTCTGCAGTCATCTCCTGTACTATGTTTGCAGTCTCTGATAATCTCCTGTACTATGTCTGCAGTCTCTGGTCATCTCCTGTACTATATCTGCAGTCTCTGGTCATCTCCAGTAGTGTGTCTGCAGCCATCTCCTGTACTATGTCCGCAGTCTCTGGTCATCTCCTGTACTATGTCAGCAGTCTCTGATCATCTCCTGTACTATGTCCGCAGTCTCTGGTCATCTCCTGTACTATGTCCGCAGTCTCTGGTCATCTCCTGTATTATGTCCGCAGTCTCTGGTCATCTCCTGTACTATGTCCGCAGTCTCTGGTCATCTCCTGTACTATGTCTGCAGTCACTCCACATCTCCTGTACTATGTCTGCAGTCTCTGGTCATCTCCTGTACTATGTCTGCAGTCACTCCACATCTCCTGTACTATGTCTGCAGTCACTCCACATCTCCTGTACTATGTCTGTAGTCTCGGGTCACCTCCTGTATTATGTCTGCAGTCTCTGGTCATCTCTTGTACTGTGTCTGCAGTCTCTGGTCATCTCCAGTAGTGTGTCTGCAGTCATCTCCTGTACTATGTCTGCAGTCTCTGGTCATCTCCTGTACTATGTCTGCAGTCTCTGGTCATCTCCTGTACTATGTCTGCAGTCTCTGGTCATCTCCTGTACTGTGTCCGCAGTCTCTGGTCATCTCCTGTACTATGTCTGCAGTCTCTGGTCATCTCCTGTACTATGTCTGCAGTCTCTGGTCATCTCCTGTACTATGTCTGTAGTCTCTGGTCATCTCCTGTACTATGTCTGCAGTCTCTGGTCATCTCCTGTACTATGTCTGTTGTATCTGGTCATCTCCTGTACTATGTCTGTAGTCTTGGTTCAGAAAAATTTTTTTCTTGTTTTCCTCCTCTAAAACCTAGGTGCATCTTATGATCAGTTGCGTCTTATGGAGCGAAAAATGCGGTATATATTAACAGTCTGCCAGCATAAATAAAGTGAATTGAAAAATTACATATAATTACTGTAACAATTCCTAAATCATCCACACGTACCAAGTGGGATCTTATGAATATATGCATCAACGGTTGATAAAATGAATACATTAACCGTCTACCATCATAAATAAAGTGAAGTGAAAAAAAACTTTTCATATAATTACACTTACAGTTGCTAAATCATCCACATGTACAAAGTAGGATCATATGAGTATATATATCAATGGCTGATAAGATGAAGAAATCAATAAATCCATAAATAAAATATAATAAATCTCATATGCAATCTCAATATGTAATATTAGTTCAGCACCACAATCGCCAACAGCTACGTGTGTGCACAAACTAGCTTTATGCCGTGATAATGTATCCAGACGTGGAAAAAAACACCATTGTTTCATGATCCTCCACCTTCTACACCACCTGCTTACCTACAGGTATGACCTATTGCACAGTAAGGTCTATATGTGCCTTGCTCTTTAAGCTGGGCTACTGTAATCCCAAGTGTAGCAGTCTCCTATCCGCCTATAAGCGCCAGTTTCTCCTACCACACCAACACCAGCTCTTCTCTACATCAGCAAAGTTAGATCAAGAAAAAAAAGATAGCTCTCATTATGCAATATATTGATTAAAATTCCCAAATCTATTGAGAAGCCAGGTAAAAGCATTCACAAACAATGTGCACTATATCCCAATGCACTCAGATATATTGCCTCCTTAATAGCTGTATTGCCACCTTAAGGAAAACATTGACATCAATACAAGTGTAAAAAAAATCATCACTTCTGGTAATGAGCCCAGTGTGATGACATCATACAGCCATGCCCTGATGTGTTTTGTCACTTTACAGTGATTCTCTCAAAAGAAGATGACCACGATGCTATTCCTGAAATAGGAAGCTGTTATTAATAACACAGGAGGAGCATCTCAGCCATCTTCTTTTGAAAAAAGTCATGACCAATCATAGCGATTACATGATACCCTGGCAGCTCACAGTGGCCAGGTACCAAGCACCGTGATCTGCTGTGTATATCAGCTACAGCGGTCATGGGTTGGCGCCACTGCTCGCCTTGTGCGTGTGTGCACGGTGATCTATCAGTATGTTGTGGCTCCTGAAGCTGACAACCCTCTCACGGTAAAATTAATTGGGGGGGGGGGGGGGGGCAAGTGGTTAAGTGAGTGATTTAACCCTAACGGGCTAATTCACACCAGAGCGCAGTGCAGGAACCTACGTTTCGTGCGCATTTCCCACACCCTGTTCAAAATGCACTAGGTGTGCAGTCTGCTGCAGGTGTCAGTGTAATCCTAAAGACATCCCAAAAGCATATTGCAAATGTAGTAAGTCTGCCTCCACCAGATTGCATGGAACAGCAGTGCATGCACTACTTTTAGTGCAATCCAGTGCAATTTCAGCTCTTTCAATTGAATGGGCTGAAAATCACATCACACTAAATCACACAGCAATCACACAGGAAAGAAAGGTTTGTTCTGTGCAATATTGGTGTGAACCAGCCCTTATAATTAATAGCTCATATACAGTGGAGGTTTCTAGAAACACTGCCAAAGGAAAGGGTTGCTTTAAACAAGAATTACACCTAGGATTTTTTTTATAGTTTGGATCAAAGGTTAACCCAAATTTCCAATGGAGAGATCTGCTGTTCCAAGGCAACAGGGGAAAAAACTTTGCAAATCAAAACACTTTAGCCCCTGACAGCTTAATTTACATTATACACATCCAAAACAAAATATAATATGCAGTTCTTTTGTGGAATGAAATTTAAACTACAATAGAACCGCCTAACAGAAAAAGTTAATGCACATTTCGGCATTTTAAGACAGCAAAGCTTTTACCGCGAAGAAGGCCAAACACAAATGGACATTTACTAAATTGTTGCATTAACCTCAAGGCATTGTTGCTGAAAATTGTAATATAAAAGACTTGTTTGAAAGCTTTGTGACAATAACACAAAATCCTTGTCCCTGATAAGCATTCAAGATCTGAAAGAATTATGCACACCTGCAAATATTTCTTTTGTAATTGCTATATTAAAAGTTAAGGGCCAAGGAAGAAGAAAATTCCATTTCTGTTTTCATGTCACTTGAATGGGTCACATATGATCAAGGACAAGGCTTCATTTTTTTTCTTTCAAATGACTGATGCTATGCTTAAAAGACATAACTTCCATTCTCGGCACACCAACAAGCACATAAAAATACCGCAGAGAGAAATCTCTGTTTTGTTTGTATTTGTAGTTTGTAAAAAGAAATCGTTCTCTGGAATATGGATTTAGTTGTGAATAGCCTTGATACAAATCATGATCAAAAGGGAAATGTTGAGTTTAGAAATTACAGCAAGGGCAAAACTCACATGTAGACAAATCTGCGAGTCAGAGCTTTACACATAGACAATGTCTATGGAATATACAAAGGCGTCTTGTAACAAGAGAAATGAAAGATTGTCTTCCATACTTAATTAACAACGTATTAATATTAAAGTCATAATTTGCTATAACAAGTTGATGGGAACAATGAGCATTAAAGAATAGCCTTCTATTAAAAAAAAGGTAAACTCACAAGTTGACATAACATTAAAGAAACATCCTATGCGGTCACTAATTATTTATTCAGAATGCATTGAATGTATAGGACACAGCAGGAAAATGAAAATAGCTTTCCAATAAATCTGACTTACCTGTGAATACTGAAACACAGGAAATATTCACTATGTAGCAAATCACTGACCTGGAACATGCATGCAGGATGGGAGCTTAGACTTTTCAGAATCACTGTCCCCATATTTGTTCAAGGTGATTGACTCAATAGGTAGTGACTCGTCAAGATAAAGATGACAAAACTTGAGCCTGTACCATTAAAAAATGTCAGCAATTGCAGTTACAGGTTTGCGTTAATCCCTTAACGGCTGAGGGTAAAACAAACCTTAATGCCCAGACCCAATTTTGCAACTTTGACATGTGTTAAGAAAACTTTATACTGTATATGATTGCAACTACATTGTGTATCCTAGTAGATTATACTTTTTTTTTTTTTTTTTTCAGGACAAATTGAGCTTTCATTTGGTGGCACATGGTAATGGCTATCCCCTGATTATTTTTTTTTCAAAGATCATTAAAAAAAATCTTTTTTTAACGAGGCTGTATTTTTTTTTTTCTTTTACTCTAACCTACCAACAAAAAATAGGCCAAAATAAATTCTCCCTGTTCTGATGAATGCAGGGATACCACATATGTGTATGTTTGTTGTTTGTACCCATAGTAGGGCCAAAAAACATAATGCACATTTTGCTTTTTTAACCAACCTAAAATATGACTGACACTGGCACTAACTGACACAGATACTAGGCATAACAGGAATGTTTTTAAAATCCTACCTAAAATATACTGACCCTGACCTTTGACCCTGAGCTTGGACACCTATCTTGACCCCCAACATTAAGCCTGACCCTAACCTAGCTCAAACTATGATCCAGCAATTTTTTCTTTATTTTTAATTTTCTTTTACTTTTTTTTAAACATTCTTTTGTTTGTTTACATCTTTCTGCACTTCAATGAGAGAAAAAAACTATGTATATTTCTCTCATTCACAAGAGAAAGAAAACACATGGGCTGGCTGTACAATGACTGATCACTGTGATAGCCAATCAGAGGCCATAACAGCGATCAAGTTACCAGGAGTATAGGGTCCTAATCGTTAGCATGAGACCCCGGGCTTTTGTTGAGAAACACAAGAACACATCTATGGGGTGCCCAGTTTTAAAGCCCACCTCCTGTATGCTGCATATATTAAGGAAGGTTAATCCCATATACTTATGGGGTTAACCTTCCTTAATAATTAATCCAAATTACAGCAAATAAGATAACCAAGTATGTGATTTACAATCGCAATCCAGCAAAAAGTACATATAGAGTCACGTGAAAAAAAATAATGACACTATACAGAAACTGTAGAACTTTTTATCAGATTTGAACAGGCAAATACCTCAGATAGTGCCTACAGAT